CAACCTTCCTTCCGAGGAGTGGCTAGTGGGTTTGAACCGCCAGCCGTCTGGTTAGCAGTCAAGTGCCTTAGCCACTATGCTACCAGAGCTCCCTCCTATTCTGACTATATAGTATGACAGAATTACTGAATTAATTTGCATCCCCTGGAAGACTCTGTTTGAGCTTTAGAACCTCTTGAGATTTTTTATTTTATTCTGAAAACACACTGGGGAAGGGAAGATAAAATATCATTCTTGATTTCTATTTGATAGGCTTCCAAGTAGCACTTACCAGTTGTGTTCTATCTTGGTAGTATCTAGAATTTGTATGTTTGAATCTGATTCCAAACATTTATGTTTTATGTAGCCATAAAAACAGTTGGCTTAAATGAATAATTTCTAAAACACTAACAGTTAAAACAGACTTCCTTTTTCAAAATACACTGATCAAAATGTCTGCAATAAACTTGAACAGATTTGACCTTTTGGTTATTGTTGCCATATCACCCTAATTTATAAGGGCAATAATATTATTGAATATTCTCAGCATATGGAATGTAGTAGATGCCCAAATGTTTTTTGAGTGTGTATTTGCAGTTTCTTTGCCTATAGTAATAGCAAGAACAAAACACAAAATATAAATTCACAAAAATGAATTATAGACCAGAGTGAGTAGCAACAATTCTGGCATACACTATCTCCAGACTATAAGCTCCTGGAAGGCAGGGGCTCTGTTTGTTTTCTTTGTCCCTTCAGAGCTTAGCACACAGTAACCTCACACAGTGAGCACTCACATGTCCAGCCAACAAATTGCTTAAAATTGATGTGATTTGTAATTTTATGTTTCTTAAGGGCCCACCGACAATGGTGAGGAGGAGATGGAAGAAGACACAGTCACAAATGGGTCTTGAGCAGTGTGACCTGCAAATCTACAGGATGTGGAATAATGCCATCTTGGGACGAGTCTTGCTCTTTGAACATGGAATAGTCTTACTTGGGTCTGCAAAGTAGAATTCATAAGCATTGATGAAATGCACAAAACTGTTGCTGGTCATTTTGTAATGTAAATTTTTGAAATCTATAAATGTCAGTTTTCTACATATAGTAAATTAAAAGACACTCAGTGTGCTGCCAAGTTACAACTCATGATGGGGTGTTACACTGTGGTGTATGGTTATGTTTAAGTTGGAAGTGTAAGAGGACACTCTGAAATACTTAGATTTTAAAATTCTTAATAAAATTGAGGATTATCCGTTTTGCTGCCAGTGATTGTCATTAAAAACCAGCAATCCCTTTGGTGCGTGTTTTCTGCACAGAGTAACAGCTCCATTAAGGGCAGCTAGGCTTCAAGATTCATGAGTCAGCATACTTAGACCTTCTACTTTAACCCTACATACAGACATCATGCAAATTAATAAATTACTGATTTGTAGAAATACAGAAGGGAAATGTGACTTGGTAGTCAGGTAATGGGATATGAGCAGAGGAACAGCTTTTTCTAACTTTTAGGACTTGGTAGAGGGACCATTGCTTACCTGGCAGGCAGACTAAGGCCCGATTTCCTCACAGCTCCTAAATGTTTTATTCCATTCTTGACACATGGTAAATTTAAGCCAAAAAAACATGGTACTGGGGATTGGATGAGGGTGGCAAGCACCTTAGCTTTCCATCCACATGTCTGACATTCACTGTTGTGGTTTTCCAAACCCAGAATCTGAATTCTATTGCCTTAATTAGTGGTTCCTTAACCCTAACTGAGTTTTAGAATTAATGGGAAGAATTTTAAAAATACCAATGCCTTGGTCTCACTAGATAACCAGTTTCTTTAGCTTGGTTTTTTTTTTTTTTTTTTTTTTTTCTTTAAAGTTCCTTGTCAGGTTTTAAATGTGAGAAATGCTCTTCTGAGTAGTCCCTCAAATAGTTGTCAGTGATTGCTGAGCAGCCAGTAACATCATTCAGTACCACATGAGTAAGGCATACACAGATGCCTAGGACATGGGGGAACTCTGCCTTCCAGGAGCTGACAGGCCCACTGGGAAGTCAGAACCACAAAAAACAGTATACTAAACCTCAGTGTGGGAGCTTAAGGAGGGGTCACTATGAGTCAGGTCTGACTTGATGGCACATAACAACAACAAACCTCAGTGCAGTAGTGAACAGTAAGAATGGAGTGCAGCATTCAGAACAGCTTTAGAAAGGAGATGGAACTTGGGCCTAGAAGAACATTGTTATGTGCCGTCAAGTCGGACCTGACTCATGGTGACCCCTCTTTGGGTTTCTGAGGCGGTATCACTACGAAAGTAAATTGCCGAATCTTCTGGGGAGTGGCCAGTGGGTTTGAATCGCCAGTCTTATTGTTAGCAGTCAAGTGCTTTAGGCACTATGCTACCAGAGCTCCTTAGAAGAACATAGCCTTTAGAATTTCTCAATTTAACTCTAAACCAGTGCTTTTTAAACTACTGTGCTATGGATCGAGAGGATCTTGTTAAATGCAGGTACTGTGGTGAGAACCTAATAAATTCCAGGTGCTGTGGCTCAGTACAACACTCAGTAGGAGGGATTTCTAACTTCACCTGAACTCTTAAAGTTCCATGGTTTCAAATCAGTTCATTCCTGTTTAACCCACTACTAAGAATTTGCCTTTCCACTCCAGATACACGAAATCAAAATCTACGTTCAGCAAGATCCCCAGGTGATTCTTATGTATACATAATGTAATAATCACCTGGGGATCTTAAGCTGTAGATCTTAACCTATTGCTTCTGCTTCTGTTCAGAAAACCCATTGCTAGAGCATCTGACTCAAAACACTGTTTCAGAGTAAACTACGATCCTTGGGGTTTTCAATGGCTCTGGTGGTGTAGTGTCTAAGGCATTTGACTCCTAACCAGAAGGCTGGCGATTCAAACCCACCAGCCACTCCTCGGAAGGAATCTGCTTCCGTAGTGATACTGCCTCGGAAACCCAAGGAGGGGTCGCTATGAGTAGAGCCTGACTCGAAGGCAGTGTGTTTGGTTTGGTTTGGAATCTTACTGATCCTGGGTGGTGTGAACCATTGGCGCATTATCATTGGGGCATATCTACTAACCTAAAGGTTGGCATTTTGAACCCACCCAGCAGCACCACGGAAGAAAGTCCTGGTAATTTGCTTTTGTAAAGATTACAGCCTTGGAGACAGTGCCTAAGGCATTTGACTGCTAAACAGAACACTGCGGTTCAAACCCACCACCAGGAACTCTTCAGAAGGAAGATTGGGCAATCTACTGTAGAGATAATGCCTTGGAAACCCAAGGAGGGGTCGCTATGAGTCTAAATGACTCTACGGCAGTGGTTTTTTTGTGTTTGTCTTGTTTTTGAGCTATCTTTCAGGGTTACCAGGCCTTCTCGGCCTTCTGAGATTCCAATTACAGGTATTTATGTTTAATGTTCACAATACATTACTTCAAAATAGGCCACTATATGACTTGGACATTATGCAAAAACCATATTAAAACGTTAGGAGCACCTGCTTCTGGTTGTCCTCATTGCCACCAACTGCTGCAGCTGGAGCTGCTGTTAGAGGCTTGGAGGAATGGACTCTGGCAGCAGAGGGAGCTGAGTGAGAGGAAGCAAGTGAGGAAGAAGTAGAATGTGCCCAGTCCCCATCATAAGTCAGAGACTACCCTTTTTCTGGTTGTAAAGTTTCATAGATTTTGAGTGATTTGCCCTAACTCAGTTTTCCCCAGAAATACAATATATTTAGTGGGCAATTTTGCCTTTGAATTATGATGTTGACAAAGAATATTACGCATATCATGGACTGCCAGAAGAACAAACAAGTCTTTGTTGGAATAAGTACAGCCAGAATGCCCTTGAAAGAAAGGATGGCAAGATTTCATCTCACATGCTGTGTGCATATTATCAGGAGAGAACAGTCCCTGGAGAAGTACATTGTTTTAAGTAAAGTACAAGGTCGGCAAAAAAGAGGAAGACCCTCAACGAGATGGATTGACAGTGATTATAATGAATTCAAACATAGCAACAATTGTGAGGATGGCACAGGACCGGATAGCATTTTGTTCTTTTGTACATTGGGGTTGCTGTGAGTTGGAACTGACTCAACAACACCTAACAAAAAAATCAAGGGTTACCAGAATCACTTCTATTGTGTTATAGCAGAAACTTTTGTGCTCCTAACAAAAACTCGCTTCTGTGGAACTATATATTAACATGTTATTTGAAGATTACTAGGGAGCTCTGGAGGAGCTCTGGTAACATATTGGCTAAGGCACTTGACTGCTAACCAGAAGGCTGGCGGTTCAAACCCACCAGCCACTCCTCGGAAGGAAGATGGGGCAATCTACTTCCGTAGTGATAATGCCTCGGAAACCCAAGGAGGGGTCGCTATGAGTTGGGTCCGACTCAAGGGCACATAACAACAACAACAACAACAAGGAGCTCTGGTAGCATAGTGGCTAAGGCACTTGACTGCTAACCAGAAGGCTGGCGGTTCAAACCCACCAGCAATCCTCGGAAGGAAGATGGGGCAATCTACTTCCGTAGTGATAATGCCTCGGAAACCCAAGGAGGGGTCGCTATGAGTTGGGTCCGACTCAAGGGCACATAACAACAACAACAACAACAAGGAGCTCTGGTAGCATAGTGGCTAAGGCACTTGACTGCTAACCAGAAGGCTGGCGGTTCAAACCCACCAGCCACTCCTCGGAAGGAAGGTTGGGCATTCCTACTTCTGCAGTGATACTACCTCGGAAACCTAAGGAGGGGTCGCTATGAGTTGGGGCTGACTCGATGGCAAACAACAACAACAAAAGTTTTACAGTATTTGTATGTAACTGGTAAGTGCTCAAGTTTTGAGGTCTGAAAACTATACATTTTGAAAGTATGTATCTGGTTTTATATATAAACAAACAAAAACTGCTATCAAGTTTGTTCGACTCATAGAGACCCCTCCTTGGGTTTCCGAGGCAGTATCTCTGGAAGTAGATTGCCCAGTCTTCCTTCCAAGGAGTGGCTGGTGGGTTTGAGCCACCAGCTTTCTGGTTAGCAGTAAAATGCCTTAGGCATCACACCACCAGAGCTCCTGGTTTTATATATACAAACCAAAACCAAACTCATTGCTGCTGAATCAGATCTGACTCATAGTGACCCCTCCTTGGGTTTCCGAGGCAGTATCACTAAGGAAGTAGATTGCCCAATCTTCCTTCGAGGAGTGGCTGGTGGGTTTGAACCACCAGCCTTCTGGTTAGCAGTCAAATGCCTTAGGCACTATGCCACCAGAGCTTCTGGTTTCATATATATACATGTTTGTTGTTGTGTGCTGTCGAGTCGGCCCCGACTCATAGCAACCCCTCATTGGGTTTCCGAGGCAGTATCACTATGGAAGTAGATTGCCCAATCTTCCTTCCAAGGAGTGGCTGATGGCTTTGAACCGCCAGACTTCTGGTTAGCAGTCAAGTACCTTAGGCACTATGCTACCAGAGCTCCATATATATACATATTAAATATAATTTAAAGGCCACATTGGGGGTCTACAAGAATATTTGTCTTTGAAAGGAGTCCTTCCAAAACCAAACCAAACCCATTGCCATCAAACAGATTCCAACTCATAGCGATCCTATAGGACAGAATAGAACTGCCCCATAGGGTTTCCAAGGCTGTAAATCTTTACAGAAGCAGACTACCTTATTTTCTTGCAGAGTGGCTGGTGGGTTCAAACTGCAGACCTTTGCTTTGGTTAGCAGCCCACCACAGTGCCACTAGAACTGGTGTAAAGGTGTCCTTACATTTGAAAAAAAAAAGTCAAAATTCAAAGAAATAGACAAGTTTTGTTCTGAGTAGTTATTTATACACATATAAAAACATAAACTCACTGCTGTTGAATTTATTGTGACTCACAGCAACCCCTCCTTGGGTTTCTAAGGCAGTATCTCTATGGAAGTAGATTGCCCAACCTTCCTTCCGAAGAGTGGCTGGTGGATTTGAACCGCCGGCCTTCTGGTTAGCAGTCAAGTGCCTTAGGCACTATGCCACCAGAGCTCCCATATACGCATATAGGGAGATTTAAAACAAAAAAAAAGCAAATGGACAGAAGAGGAAGGAAAAGAATAAAAGATTAACCATTTGGTTTTGTGGTTTT